GGGTTCAACGTCTACTAGATTATTGCTCGGGTCTCGTTGGTGAATTTCAACTATTCGTTATACTTCGACATAATGTGTACTTATGGTTTGCGGGGAGCCTGATAAATAGTTATTATGTAATTGATAGATTATCGATTTTTAAGGATATTCAAATGGTGCACCCAGACGTCGAGCATTTTTCTCGATACGCTGACTGTTACTGATTCTTGACAAGCACGTGTTTCGATCAGGACTATTCGAACCCAAGGCTACATTACAGGCGTATAGGTTCATTTTCTATGTGAAAAGTCACTACTTTCTGAAGCGTAAACACTTTTCTGTGAAATTTTCACCCTCTTGTTGACATACAGGCGCTTTATCATACCCCTCCTTTATTCGCTACGTGTAACTCCCTTAGAAGCGATGATTGGTTCGAATTTTAGACGTACGCACCCTTTATAGACCTCTTGAGATACCGTTAAACATATTTCTTCCTTTTCAAAATGACTATTGATTTGGACATACCATAGCGTATCTCGGGCAAACTTAACCATAATTTATCTCGAAATTCAAAAATAAGAGACATCTGAAATGTAAACGCGATACAACTATTCGCGCAAGATGGATGTCCACATTGCATTTGAAAAATGTAAGACGTGATGCCGTGAGTCGTAAACTCGCAATGCTCTACGCTAGTTTGAAGCAACATTACAAATAAGACAAACGCAAACAAACACAATATGGAAAAAAGCGAGGGAAAGGAGGCGCGTTAACGACGGCGCAAAGATACAACTATTCGTACTTGATGGACGTCCGTCCTGCATCTGAAAAATTGAAGGCGCGATGACGCGAACCGTGAGCTCTCAATGCTCTGCTTTATGCTATCAATGAAATGTCGCTCAGATTCGGGAGAAAAGTTTAAAAAAAGGCCCGAACACACCTCTCCTACCTTCGGCTGTATTACTCACGTAGTGCTTGAAGCACCATTACGAATAAGACAAACGCAAACAAACACAGTATGGAAATAAAGCGAGGGAAAAGATGCGCGTTAACGACGGCGCAGAGATACAACTATTCGTACTTGATGGACGTCCGTGCTGCATCTGAAAAATTGAAGGCGCGATGATGCGTAGCGTGGGCTCTCAATGCTCTGCTATATTGCTATATGCTGTCAATGAGGTGTCGTAGGGGATGCCCTACCAGAAAATATCACATTACGCCCCTTTAACCAGTCAAGGGTCTACGCCCTCCGATGCGAGCCAGTCCTACCCTGATTTGATGGCCTTAAGTATGCTCCACTACTGCAAAGCACTTGGGCTAAATGGCTCCGTTCATAAAATACGTAACGCTAAATTTAAGATTTTTCGACTACCCTACTTCCTTCGTGACGCTTAAGTAACGTAGGTCCCTGTTCTCTAAAACATAATGGTGTAATGCTCTGCGCGACAACCCCCCCCCCCCCCATAGTGTTACGTATTCTATGAACGGCCTTTTATACTAGGGATATCACAATGCGCCTGTGCCGTATTTATGCAATTTTGTACTGTTATCACGGAAATTTTAGGACGAGTAATGACGCAAATTGGACATTTTTAAGACTTAAATTCTTCCGCGTTAAGAATCTGCCGGACATGCTAATTGATCAAACTCTGTTGCCAAATAGAACTCAGTTTTTTTTACACAAGTCGGCTGAATGATCTAATATCTTGTTCACAATGTCGAGAGATATATGTCGAGAGAATAAGTCGCACGTTTCTTCAAATTGCATTCTACTATACAGACTGCCTGTGAATAGGCAAATTTCAGAACTTTGCTTCCCAATTTCGAGTAAATTAAATTTGCAGGTTAAAATATCGGTGCGTGAGCAATCCTCCAATTTCGCATTATGCTCTCTTTTGTCATTAAAACAGTGTCATAAGTATTTAAGTGGTCCTCAAAATTTGCATGATCGAAACAATGTCCGGGAATCAATTTTTTCCTTACATTTCCATGTTCATATTTCTGTTGACCATGCAACAAAAATAATTTGGCTTTGTTAGTTCACGCTGTTTATGCGTCTTTTAATCCTTCCTAATGACTCCTGATTTGGTAATCACTCAATATGTAAGTCTCGCATATCATATTTCTGGATTACAGCGTTGTCATTTTTCATTACGAGGTAAAATAAATGTTTGCGGCCTCCAATTTTTACTTTTCTTAGATGACACGTTTTCTCTTTCTTTTGAAAGAAAATTAAAATAGCAATGAAAAAGGGGTGACTTGTATAAGATCAAGAAGGAAAATATTTCACTAATACATTTTATCAGTAAGAGCAAAGCCATAAATAAAAATAATAAAACAATTATGTGCATTAAATCAATTATTAAAGATTAAAAGATGCAGATGAGGCCTGATGTTTCATTGAAGAGAGGGTATAATATAAATTGAAAATAATTATCAGTTGACGAAAAAATATATTGATACGGGATATTAGCCTAGACATTAATTACATGTTAGATTTAGATAGAGGAATATCAAGGTTTACAAAAATTCAAATGAAGGATGTATTTATAAAGTGAGACGTACAGAATGTAAATTTTGAAATTTGTATGTTGTAGGGTTTCGGCTAATAATTCATTACGTCCCAGCCGTTAAAATTTGACGTTTATGATAGCGACCGAAAGTACGCTGACTCTGAGGCAAAGGATCTTCTGTCATTACGGCATGGCAATTCATATATTCAACATTTCGATATTCAAACATTGCTAGATTTCCTTTGACAAATCACAAATTTCTTTAAAAACCTGAGTTTTGTCGTTTGTGACAGTATTAACTCGGAATTAAGTCTCGCGTATCTGAAAAATTCCAAAAAGGATAATCACAAAATTTCTTAAAAATGAACATTTTATCTGAAAAAAATTGCGAAGTCCAGTTATTCATATGACGTTCCTACCGAGGAAAATATCACACGGCGTAACTGTCCCAGGACCTGATATGGTTGCTGCAGAGATCACGTCTATCAGTGGTGACTGGTGAGGCGTGAATAACTGAATATCGATATTTCCCCATGTGAAGCTGTGGTAAAGAATCGAATAAAAAGGTGTTCGTTGCAAACACCCTGTCTATCGATCCTTTTTCATGGGTCAAAGTGGCATATCAATCGATACATCGCAATGCACACGTCTAGACGCCAATACTGTCAATAGAGTGCATGGACTTTTTCCTACCCAGGCGTTGAAGTCACCGTATAAATAATGTTACTATTAAACGCGCGCCGCTTATTACAGCCCCTGCTTCTCATAAAACAAGAACTATGTAGATTATAAATGCATCTTGACATCAAAGCGGTAGATGAAAAAAAGTAAGAAACGTAAATAAATAAAATATTAATGGTGAGCCAAGTAAAAAGTTCGGAAGTCAAATAGTGAGAAAACTTGGGCATTGATCTAAGTTAAAAAAGTGAGGGCCCTCTTTCTTCTCTTTATTCTAGCCCTGGGCAATATGGTAGGACATTTGAACTTTTCAGAACTTTCTTTGACGGCTTTAATTTTTTCAACGAATTGGTGAAATATGGTTCCGAAGTCTTTTCTTGTCCAAACTGCACGCACGTTCAAGAGTCTCCGGCTGTATTTTTCATGTTTTATCTTGGATAAAAATGTGGAGGATGACAACGTCAAGGAAAGAGGCGTTGGGTGCAGAATGGACATTTCTTGGAGGCGACGTTTCAGAATCTCCAGAGCTAATGTTTATTTTGAGGAGGAAACTATTAGGTAAATTTTCTGAAATTTTACGTTTTCAGCACTGAAAAATTATAAAAAATATTCCGTAAAAGGTACGACAAATTACATGCATTTGCCCTAATTATAATGGATAAAACTATGGCGGAAATTTTTAGACTGCGCAACCAAGAAATGACCTTTCTGTACCCAGCAGCGCTTCGATTATGTACATTAAAATATGACAAAGTAAAGAGTGAGGGGAGAGGAGGATCTAAGGATGAGAAAAGAAGGCAAAAAGAGATAGAAAAATGGTGAAAGAGGGAATTTTTTTTATTTTATATTTCTTTAAATGCATCATTTTGGTTTATTGAAGATTCTCCTCGAAAAAGTCTAGAGCATGGATAGCGTTTAGTCCTATCGCTACTTTATAATCATAGTATCTCGAGAGCTTTCAGTTCCCTTCACTATCTTGCATTCTCCTCCCAAATCGCGATGTCCGAAACCGATTTCGTGGCCCAAACGCATCGACATCGTCCACGTCTCAGATTTTATGAGCGTGAAAACTGCTTTGCGCGATCAGTTTAACGACGCACATTCGCGTGTATAACACCTCATAAACAAGCAAACGAGATGATTTAATGGTTTTATGGGTCTATTGTTACCCACAAGCGGTAGTTTGGAGTCGTTTGAAAACTGACACACGTAGTCGTTTTACTGCGTGCCGCGAATGGGCGAACGCAATCCTGAATCCTGGATCGTCTCAGATTTCTGGCTACCGGTGATGCCCCCTAGTGATAAATCCAATAAACGCTAACCGGAACTTATTCCGTTGGGCTCTTGTACCGGCCAAAAAGTAAAAAATAAAAAAATTCGGCAATGGACCTTGGCACGTCCAAAGAAAAAGTGGAGTCTACTGACCATATTCTTGTTGTGACATCACGACTCATTCATAGAACATTTTTCTGGAAATTCCACCGAAGTTTCTATAAACGCAGTTGAAGATTTAATTTGATTAAACTTATCTTCAGTTCAAAAATTAGGCTTAAAATATTTTCGTAATCGAATTCTTTTTCCAATTTATTTACGAATACATTTTTGAATAAAAACAATTTCTCTTTTAACAAATAAATAATATAGGGGTTAGTTATCTTCGCGCTTCAATTTTCCATTTAGGGTTGAATGAATATGATTGATGCTCATGTTTCGGCGAGACTCACAAGAATAGGACATATTTTAAGGTATCATTGATTACATTCGAAAGTAATAGAAAGTAATTGAAAGTATTTTAAGTAAATTAAATAAATATATTTGTGATGATCCTACCTGATTATCATGAAGGACGGTGAACTGTTGAATATCTGCAACAGAGGGGAGAAAATAATTTTTAAAATAAATTACTGAAAACATGTTTCAAAAATGCTTTAGCATGATTAACACAATTCTAATATTTCATATTCATTTTCCAAACACAGAGTACACACCGAAAAGAAGAAGAAGAAGAAAACGTGACCACGTTTAATCTAAAGGTAGTTTGACGATCGATCTTTTACGAACAGAATCCGAACTGCGTTTACAGATCGGAAAAAATGGATATAGAAAGGGAATAGGTAACCATTTAGAAAAAAATTAAAATAGAATCATCCATATTGCTTCATTGTTATCACTATACAAGGTAAATTGTTTCATATACTTTAATGCAATTTCAACCTAATTAGAAGTAGTAATATCCTTTCAATAGTTTCAGTGTTATTATTTTCTTTAAACGGGATTTTTTATTCATTAGTTCAATATTGTTAAATTGATATCCATATTCGACACTAATAATGATCACCAATCGTTCATCTTTTGTTATCTTGCCCAAAAACCTGCTTACACGCATCAAAATTCAAAAATACCTCCCTCCAAACATCCACCCATTAAACTCTGATGGTTCAAAAGTATAACCCAAACTTTTAAAAATCTTTAGACAAGTAAATCTTAAAATTTAAGGTAAATTTCTGGTCTCCGATGTAAATAGTCTCGTTGCCGCTTGTCGTAATAAATAATTAACCTTTGATTGTACCATATTATACGAGCTTTGAAGTTTCTTACAAAGTGGAGATATTGAGGAGGTAAGGGTTTTAAACTTTTGAATTTTGACCGGCAAAAGTCAGTTTGAACAAATAAGGATTGAACGTTACTGTCACAAACGCCCTTGTTGATAAATGCTAAGTACTCAGGCGCCACAGAGAGGAAAACAACGATCATTTTTTTCTCTCCTCTACACCTTTTTCACAGAGCAGACACATTAAACTAGAGTATTAAAGTGGCGTTTTGTGTCGTCTCGTTTTGATTTTCATATTTCAAAGTCAGAGTTGTCAACTTCTCTGAAAATTTTAGGATACGATCATATGAGTTGCGTGAGGGATTTTACATGTAACTATTACAAAGCCTTACAACACTCCACTCTCTCCCTCTTTTTTTTTTTTTTTTTTTTTTTTTTTTTTTTTAAATAAATAATATTGTTGATGAAGCAACTCCGCACTTTCATTTTCGACTTATGTGACCTTTTCAAACTGCGGATTTGCCAGACTAATTTTACGATCGGACACTTTTGGACGATGGCAAGTAATATGCCAATCTAAAAATGTATAGGGGGGGGGGGGGCAGGGGAGTAACTAGACTGGAATTACAGCTAATAAACCTTGTTTCCTAATCCTCACGTATGATACATATTAAACATTGAATGTACGTACAACCGGAGTATACATGAAAAAAAATGATGATATAGTGTTCATTAGTCCATTCCTCTCTTCTTAAATGTCACACGAGTCAAAAAGGTTATAAAAGTCAAAGCCTCCTTTTACAGAGTTTGACAGAGTTTGCAATTCCCTGACAATTGGACTGCATTTTGCAATTTGGACCGATAAATTCTAGCTCATCTGAAAAAATAATTATGTTCATAGGGAAACTAATGGCACATACGTTGTTTTTAAACCGGGCCGGAATTTTTAGTTCCTAATTGCAAAATGTAGTCCAATTGAAGACATGACAAGTGGTTGAGAAGGCATGATAGAAAATAGTTTTCAGACAAAATTTGTTGTTCAAAGTCTCAAACCCATTCTAAGAAGGAAATAAAGGTGATTTAACACATTTTTCCTGACATTTTCGTCATTTTCCCTGACTTTTGAAAATTCCCTGACATTTCCCAATTTTCCGGGTATTCCCTAACTGTGGGAACCCTGTAATTTGTACGGCTTCATAAAAGAAAATGAATGAAATATTGACCACTTTTTGTGACGGTTTAGCGGTCTTCACGTCTCTGATCCTTTTCTAACAAAAATCCTGGGGCTCAAGATACGTCTATGAGTGTAAATTATATTATTTTCCGCGGCATTGCAGCGCCGGCAGAATTTGAAAATTCCACCCGCGTAACCATGTAATTAAACGCCGATAAAAATCAATCGAATTTTTTCTCGACGAAGTATTCGACTGATGATGTAGCGGAGAGTACTAAAATGGGCAGAGCCGGTGAGGATTAATAGCACTTGGCTATAAGCTCGGATCAGACGCCATAAATTGCCCGCCAAACTCAACCCAAAAGGAAACGTTGTCAAACTCAGGGATTGTGGATTTCAGTTGCAAGCGCGATGAGGTTCCACCGAATTTGCGCTGTTTGTCATGGTGCAAAGAGGTCAAGTGTCGTTACTATTTTCAAAATTTAACTTATGTCGACAAAATATAGTTCGTAGTTTCTCGCACGAAGGAACTTAACTTCATTCATAGGTTGCCAAATTGACTCAAACAATTAAATTTTTTACGAGGAATGTAATCTTGCGATTGTTGTCCAAATGTTTCCTGATATTTGCATAAGATCTGAAAGAAACTTCTTTAAATTCCACATTAGAAATGCCCAGGATTCCTGGTAAAAATGCAATTTTTGAGAGGAAATTTGACAACATTGAAATGTAATTTCGTTCTTTTGCCAGGGAAACGACGGTTTCAGCTGGAGCAAAAATCCTGCTACACCTAGAGATTCAAAATTTTCATAACAAAATATGTCAAGACCGTTGCAACAATAGGGATTTACTGGGATATTTCCTCCTCTTGAAAGAGATGGATTATCTATCTTTCTGTCTCTCCCCCATGTTTCTTTCCCTCGCTCTCTCCTTTTAGTAGTGGCACCAATCAAAATCTATACAGGTGGCTACTTTGTTCCTGAATACAAGTCAATATCCAGAAATAACTTATGCAGGTGGGATCATTCCTTTTCTCCTCTTATCAACCCGCTTTTATTGCTTTCACTTTATACCTCGATTGGTGTTTTATTTTTCTCTCACTTGACAAAAGTTCCTACCACCTGCACTAAACTGCTAGTCTACGTTATTTAGATTATTGTCAACGAATGGTATCGCTGATTCCAGGCACTTACCATAGTTTATGCGAAAAATTTACAAGAGGAATGATACACCAATAGCCGGTATCGGAACACTGGAGGAAAGTGCTCGGAATACAAATTATACTGATTGCGGATGCATCGGGCCTGGTATTAAACCATATTACCTTACTCCTCTATTTTACTGAATGGACAGTGCCCATGTGAACTATTAGCATAAAACAAGAAAACAAGAAAACACGTCGTAATTCAAAACGCGTCTTCGCCACCGCCCCCTCACCGCCCCTCACCACTCCCATTCGCTATTGCAGTTGTTCAGCCTATTGTCTACATTACTGTGAATGGATCGTTTATTTATCAGGGTGAGATGGACCCACTACGTGGAAGTCAAACCAAGGCGGGGCGGGCCCTGATAGCACGGAGGGTCCAGCGGGCTGATTATTGAAATTGATAGACAAAGCGATTGACAAAGAAGACATAGGGAGTATGGAGTGATCCTATTGGTTGAAATGAGTGGTTCTCATAGAGTAAGGGAGTAAATGATGGACTAACTATCGGGTCTCTCGTGGGTTCGTTAGTTAGTCTATTATTTACCTCCTTTGTCCATTGCAACCACCCACTTCCACCAATAGGATCCCTTCAAACACCTTTCGTCTTCTTTGTCTATGGCTTTGCGTATAAATCTCAATAATCAGCCCGGTGTTACGTCATTAATGGAAATCAAACGCAATTTAAGGTTGATGAGTGGAGCCAGGGCAGACGAAATGTGCAGGTACGATCTCCTGGAGGCAACCAGAAGTTGCTGAAACCTAAGAGGCTTGAGGCCACCGATCTTTATAAAAAAAGCATAATCCTTACGCAGATTGTGCAGTTGGGAATGTATTTCAGACTTTCCCAATACGCTCTTCGTGATGTTTAAGCCATTTTCTATACGAAATATTTCTTCTTTTTGTTCTAGCTAAAGTTCGCAACAAGCCAATTGGCTCTCAAATTAGATCAGAAAATGTCAACAGACCAGATGCCTCGTCAAAGTAAACGAAATTGGCTCAGTCAACGAAAGCGCTCTTTTTTCCACGAGTAAATTTAAGAAAATGCATACGAATATCCTGACAAAGAACTTGACCCGAACACAACAGACCTCTAACTTCAGTGAATGGAGAGGGGAGCCGAGGGTGCTTTTAGTTTCATTCATATACATTGTAATTCTGTTGACAATGAGACCAAGAGTTAATTGAAAATGATGTGGGCGCGCTTCAGCTGTTTATTTTGCATGTCAACATAAAGTAAATGTTTTTGTGGCTACGAGGTATTGCACTTAAGCGATGACGGATTTACAAGCATGACAAGAGGTCACATACAATTACTCTAGCTCCACTAATTATTGTGAACATTATGATTAATTTGATAATAGGAAATGAGAGAACTATGCTTTAAGACGTAAAGACTGGCCTGACCCCTCCGCCCAGATTTTTCAGAAAATAAAGTAAAAGTAAGAATGATAAGTAGATCACATTTATTTTTATTGAAAAATATTAGACTTTTCGTGTGGAAGGGTTACGTAAGATTGGACGTGAACCCTTTCACCCTCTTTCCAAGGTAAGGCAAGCTCAGACCCTCTTTTCTTAGTGGCTCAAGTAATATTTGAACGACCTCTTACCTTCACAGTTTGAGGGTTAAGCTGTTAGCGAAAAAAGTCTGTGGTTTCCTCGCGTGTGAGCTTTCCCGATAAACAAACGAGCATCCAAGCCCAGATCCTGGCACACTTCCAAAAAACGAGAGGAGAAATTGGCGGTAAATTAGCGCAATTATAAGGTGGTAGCCCATTTAGAAACTCGCAAAATCCTCAAAGCACGTGTTCATAGATTCAGAGGAGCCAAATTTTCCTAATTTACATGCTTAACATACCTAATGGAGTTTAAAAGAAATAAACGGAAGTCGGACCCTCTGACTGTTACGTAAAAAAACTCCTACTTTTTGCAATCCACTCATTAGTGATGTAGGTTTGCCCAATAAAAAAACTGTTCTTCCAATCAAGAAATGAAAATAAAATTAGCTTTGCAATGGCATAATCGGGCACTTCAATCATCGGCATGGCTTTTACATTACCTTTAATAAAGCGGGTAGGTAAACACAGATTTCACACATTGACAATGTTTTATCCATATGTAGAGCTGAGCCCACTAATTTCATCAAGGTCTAAAAGATCATCAGTGATTTAGTGATTACCATAATCACTAAAATACACTTATATCCTACATATCGACGGTGTAAGTCGGCAATCACATAACTCTGTTCGCGAAGTCGCAGACTTCCTGTCATACTTTATTTTTTAAACGGAAAACTACTTAACGGCAATTCTTTGAAACTGCCGTGATTTTTCTTCTCTGTGCGAAGAAAATTCTGCAAACATCAAGGAATGATGACAATTTGTTCTACTTTAAAATGACACAGAAGCGGAGCTTTTCAGACACCGCAAACGAGATATGTGATCGCAGACTTACGCCGTCAATATGTGTGCAAGTATTCGTGCGTAGTATGTCTTGTAAGTATAGACGAAGCGTTAAAAGCGTTTGCAAGCAAGCATTTTGTCATTTTGGATTCTCGCAGTATAACCCGCTGCTGCAGCGCCGCGCCGCGAGTGAAGTGGTGAGGCCTAGAGAATCAAAACTCCTTCGCTTCCGTGCGTATGCAACACGGCCATCCGTAGAGCTCGAATAGTTGCATCAAGGCGTTAAAATGAAATTTGCTTCAAGCATGCTGTACTAACTGACAATGAGAGTGATCTGCTTGTTTCTCTTACACCTCGTCTTAATTGCAACGTCGCCTCGATGAAGTAAACTATTCCTGTTTGTACGTAACATTTTCAATTTTCCGAAAAATGCTTGCGAGGTTCGGTTCACACATCTGAAACTTCAGTTCTTACATCTGAAGTACTTCAAATGTGAGAACCGAAGTTTTTCGGATGTGAAAACTGAAGTTTCAGATGTGTGATCCAAACCTCAGCAGCTGGACCTAAAGTGTTCAGATGCAATCCGAAAACTTCAGAGATCCATAAGACCTAAACTTCGGGTCCCACGCACGAAGTTTTTTTCTCCGTGTAATATGATGATGTTGAATACAAATTTGACAATACTGTGACACGACGCCCTAAAGTTCAGAGAGTGATGACGAGACACGACGACACGACGACGCGAAGAAGCGCCGAGCGCGCATCGCGGTGGCGTCGCGACGTCGCGTCCCGTCGGCCGGTCAGGGGAGGACGAGATGGGAACGAGCGCCAAGGCGGGAAAATATGGGCCGTACATTGTAATCGGCCGAGTGTCAAAACACATACCGTCGTCCCTCTAACATAAGGACGTATCTAAATTTCCACGTGAGCCCTGCTCTCCGTATAACTCTATGCTTTCCAAGGCTCATAGGGAAATAGAGGTGCGCCCTTACGTCAGAGGACCAACGACACATCCGTGTCCGCGTTAACTACACCGCATGTTTCGGTGTTCCCGCGAAAACATCTCTCATCCCGTAACAAGATCAAAGTCTCTTGTCGCTCAAAAGTGGATAGTTGGAGGGCGGTAAAAAAATATGCACTCTGCTGCCCTAGTGGCCTGATCTTAAGTAATGTGTAACACGGAGGCTCGGAGGGAAGAATTGAATGAGACATGCTTGCCGACAGAGGGAATAAAAATCTCATTTTAGCCGAGACTTCAACATGGGTGACTAGAAGCACCTTCTGGCAACGGCGCATGGTGGATCGAGTCGGTCGGAGGTTGGAGATGAAATTTTTGATTAAAACTGCAAATTTTGATGTTTGATTCGTCATATTTTAAATTTTAAGGAGTTCTACTTGAGGAAAATGCCACGAGGAAACCAATGAAACCACTTTAAGGCCTTGTCTCCACGGGCCGTTTCACAGGATTTGTCCCAGGGAAAAATCCCACTTACGAAAGGAGGCAAAAGTTCACGGAACTTAGTGCGAGAGTTATGTTCCGTAAACCTATTTCTGTGTGGACAAGGCCTTCTATTTATATGAAATGAACGTAAAAATAATGACAGAATAAACATAAATGTGGTTTAAAAGTTTTAACTTCCGCCGCCGCGCCGCGCTGACCGCTCTGTGTTTGGCGCAATGCGTGAAGTATTCCTACAGTCTTGTATGCGCTATGCGTTTCACGCCGACCGCTGCTGCACGCACTGCATGAAGTATTCATGCAGTCTTGAAGGCGCTATGCGTTTCACGCCGCCCGCCCGCTGTTTACCGCAGCGACCGCACTGTCTTTGACGCAATGCGTGAAGTATTCATGCAGTCTTGTAGGCGCTAATATGTGTTACATGGCGACAGCGCGCCGCGCCGAGGGATTCTCCTGTTCATCTCAAGTCCTCGTCATCATTGCTCTGTGCGCCGTGCCGTTCCGGGCCAAATTCTGTGTTCAGTTTCTATCTTAGTCTTAACTTGACTAATTAAAGGTGCTATCTATTGTATCACAGGAAGACGACAAAATTAGAGATATACTCTCGGGAAATGAGAGAGTTTGTCACTTTATCTCGTTGATAATTTTTTCTCTGAATCCGATTTTTCTTTATAGCTACATTTAAAAAAATTCCAAAATTTGCCTCCCCCTAAATTTGCCACCCTTTAAGTCCAGTCCTGTCTCTTTCGGACGATCTTGGCTCACTACAGTTTCTCGAAGCTCGACTATACCTACTCATTTTACACTTTGCCGGCAAAACAAAAGAGAGCAAAAGTAAAATAAATAAATTAAGACAAGCTCTTAATAACGATTCACTCACGTTCCTGCAAATGAATAATTACAGAATGGCTCTTGGGTACCTAGAGTAATTCGAGTCTAATCGATTGATGAATTGGTACTCAGCCCGTCTAACACCCCGCGGACCGCCCGGCGCGTCAGCGCGGTGATAAATTGGATGGTAACTGACCTATCGTTACTATTAACGAAATAAATGCGCGGTGCTGCCTTGACCGGCTGGGGGATAAAAGAGAGCTACGCCCAAATTGGAGGTTGCGCTTGCCTCCCGAAGCCTAGAGCTGAGTAATTTGTGAAAGAGGAGAGGAAATATAAGTAATAATACTCTCCCGGTCTCAATTATGACACGTCTTACTGGAAATTTATGTAATGTCTGAATTCTTACTAATTTGTCTACGAGTATTTGCGACTTAAAAATGAGCAAGGATTTGAAAGTTGAACGGATTCGGCCCTTGCACTGTAAAAAATCGAGGAGTGGATTCGGTGCCGCACAGTGGATCGAGTCAAGAACAAGGAGGTCGGACAACATTTGGAAACTTAAACGCTTATAATTCCGTTTATACAAAACTTTGAGGTTCTAAAAGTGGCTCCATTGGTTTCCTCGTGAAATTTTCTTCTAGAGGCATGCCTTGAAATTTAAAATGTGACGAAATAAACATCAAAAGTTGCAGTTTTAGTCAAAAATTTCATGTCCAACCTCTTCAATTGACTCAATCTACTGCGTGCCGGAATCTGTATAGCGCCCAGGAACCCCGAGTGCAATGGAAGCTGAGTAAAATTAGCGCTATAAAAATATTTGACAATGACAAGTTTTGATTCGCCGGATCACGCATTTCGATGGCGACGCGTGAATGATCGACTATAGATATGATTCCTTTGAAGCAATGGTAAAGAATCGATTATTAAGGCGTTCGTTGCGAACACCCTGTTTATCGATCCCTTCCCATAGGTTTAAAAGGCATATTAATCGATATATCGCAAAGCACGCCAGGCATTTTATCAGTTTTTGAAGTTAAATCAAATTCAGCGTGCTTGAATCTTGCAACCCTGGGGAAAATCGAATCGTCTTGTGTCAGAGGCAAAGCCCACGGCGAAATTTGCGGCGCGAAACTTCGCAAAAATCAATCATCGCATCAATTATTCACCTCTGCAAATGCGTGTGAGGCCGCCTTCATAATTTTTAATTAAATTTTAACCTTTGCACGTTTGCCAAATCTAAACTTGATCAAGCGACTTACCTAAAGGAAAAAGGTCTAATTTTCATAATTCGGTGGTTTCGAGCCGAAAAGTTAGGGCTCAGTTTTAGAGGAATCGAGTTGTGTGCATTCCTAACAGGGTCCTTTGCGTGTGAAAAAAAAATTGATAATTGACAGTCATATTCTAACCCTGCGATGAAAGATAGATTCCAAAAATTATTCTAGATAAGGGGGTTTGCCTGTGGTTTTTCCTTGGTGCCTAAAATCAATATATTTCACTGGATAGAATCTCCGAGTTCCTCTCATTTAAAATTGAAACCAGTTACCCCTAGTTACATGACTCGATTCCGGAGTTTGACCGGTAGGGCCTCATGCTTGATTAAAGTGAATTCGGCGTCTTTTGGTGACACAATGAGTTCGTGTGCCGCTCATTCCGAGATTACTTTACTTAAAAGTGTCTCCACATCCACAACAGAGGCATAATGGTTTGGAGTGAGTGGGTCCCCACTATAAACCCGGGATGCTTTCCATCTTATAAGCTGGAGACCTTGCGATCGTCCAACTCCAAGCCAGCGAGATTCGTCCCCGAAGTAATTTCACTCGTTTTCATTCCTATCCGTCGCAAAGGTTTCTTACAGCGTCTGGTTCTGAATATACAGAATTCTACTCCTCATCATTTCTGTCCGATATTGAAAACCTAAAAATAATTTATGTAATGGAGTAGAACTGTGCTCAAAGAACAAAATGCAATAATGAGGTGTTTCTCACCATGAAAATGTCGTTATTTTTCGTTACAAGGAGCACATCACATTCTCATGTTTGCAGGCTGAAAAGTTCACCATTTACTTCCAGTATTAGGGATCCAATGTTGCTGCAAGCCCCTGCACAAAATGAAATAAAAAAAATTAGATAAATAAGCATGATAAAACGCAAGTAGCTACTAACTGTTTCTAATACTAATTGGACTTAATTTTTCAATGTAAAGAACTTCAGTTTATGGTTCGGTTTAGAGACAACGTGTGTACCATTATTTTCCCTACACATAAGTGCTTTCACGGGTGAGTCAGAAATTGAAGTTCCTAATTGCAAAATGTCGTTCCAAATTAATCTCGAATTGCTTCGAATTTAGGATCTCATGAAAATTGGAAATGAAAAAATTATCGTTGGTTGTATTTTTATAAAAACATGATTTCTAGTTGAGCGTAATAATATATTAATGGTGAATGTGAAAGTTTTACCATTAAAATAATTTGATCCGACGTTGCTTGAAAAGTTGAATAAAAGGTTCGATTATGCGTGACTGGGCTTTCAGACTCGGAGCAATGATCGATTTCATTCATCCGCAGAAAATTTCTCGATGAATTTCCAACCCAGTGTGATTGAACTCAATCACTGAAGGGTCCGCGGGTCCATCGTTGAATGCGGTTAAATTAGCAGAACGAGGGGAGGGGGAAGGGGGGATGGGGCTGCCGGCTTGCGAGAGGTCGGCTCCTCGAGGCGAAATTTCGGTCATTGTTTCATGACGCAAAGGTGATTGACCAGAAAATCGACGAAAATGACGAAATTGGAGAGACGCCAGGAAGGTATCTGTGAATTGGGATCCGAACAGAGCAGCATGGTCTACAAGAGTCTAGCGTGCATTCGGTCGGTGGATTATCTCATTATTGTCCGGTGCGTTGCCGTTTCGGGTGCCGCGCGTGGAGATCTGCCGTGCTAAGGAAAAACGGCGTATGAGCCTTCAGACGTTGCCAAGTTTCCTCTGATAAAAACCAAAACTACTGGTAAAATTGTGAATATTATTTTCCAAAATTTTTAGACAATTAAGTACGCAATTTAATCTAATATATCTGAAAATTTCAAAGAAAAATATGTACGAATATTGCCAAAAATACATGTTTTATCAAGGAGAATTTGGCAACTCTCGAATGTTCATACGTCGTTCTTCCTTAGCACGGCAGAAATCCCGCCGTTGACGATTTCAAATGACGACACTGCAATGGTCTTCTCCTTTTCTGACCGCAAAGGCTATTAACATGCGTAATTTGTTTGGGGACTCTCCAGTGGCGTGGCATGAATTGCGATACATCGATTGTTATGCCATTTAAACCTAAGTAAAAGGATCGATAAAGAGGGTGTTCGCAGCGAACACCTTAGTAATCGATTCTTTATCATAGGTTTAAATTATATAACAATCGATATATCGCAATTCACGCCACGCCATCGGGACTCTCGCAAACGCGGATGAATAATTTATGCTGCAGTTGTCAGCGGATTATTCGAATGCTCCTAAAGGAAGATATAATTAATGAAATTGTCCTTTGCGGGCACCGGACAGTGGCGACGGAGAGACTTCATAACTTGCAACAAAGTCTGGAAAGGTATATTGAAATACACGCATGTCTGCCAAACGGAACTATGTGCATTATGGCATGAGCCCTGTTATGCATTTATTCTTATGGGTCCCAGGGCTCATGTCTTAGTGCACATAGTTCCGTAGACCCAGTACTATCTTACCTTACCACCTTGTTTTAAAATGACTAAATAATATCAAAATATCACCCCAAAATTTCATTGGAGGACCAGCCGGTACTTCCTCAGTGGGTGTTTAAAAAACGCCACTGGAACTGAGTTAATTCGATGCACTTTAATTCGGGAGGAAGAAAGTATATTTGGACTTATTTCTACCAAACGGAACTATGTGCATTATGATCTGAGCCATGTTATGCATTTATTCTTATGGGTCGCAGGGCTCATGTCTTAATGCACATAGTTCCGTTTGATAGAAATACGTCCAAATATACTTCTTCTTCTTCCCGAATTCGGACAACTCCTTGACTTTCATCGTATGTGCATCGAATTAACTCGGTTTCAATGGCGTTCTCTACACACCCACTGAGGAAGTACTGGCTGGTTCTTCGATGAAATTTTGGGGTGAAATACTATTTTGATATTATTTATTCATTTTCAAACAAGGTGGTAAAATAGTGCTGGGTCCCCACTATTCTGCGGGAAAAACAAGGCTAAAAAAATCCAAAAATTTCAATTACAGTTACAAATTTGAGCTCTGATGCGTACCAGTCAAGACTAATGGGGGTGGAAGGGCAGGGGACAGGTCGGACCACGTTTCTTAGTGTTTTTTTTTTTTTTATTTCCCGTCAAATTTTGAAACTTGACAAGAAAAACAGAGCTAACATCAGAATCGTCAGGTAGAAATTCACCTAATTCACTCCAAGGCGACATCGAGGTAACACAAATCCTGAGATAACTATTGCTGCACTGAAGATGTTTTCTGGCCTACATCGAAAATTGAAGGCGAAATAGCAATGAGCGTTCTGAGTGTAATCTCAGTATCTTCTTCGTGTCAATCTTGCCTCCTCTAAATTTTCGATCAGAAGACGCCATCGTGAAGTTTCGGAATTTTTGAATGGTTCCGAGTCTCTCGAGGAATAATGCATCGTTCTAAATAGTGAAATTCTCTTTTCAAATTGATAGATGAGAAGAAATAGATCCATGATAAACTTTGACCGCCTTAAGATATTCACGTATTCGACTTTAACAGTCGAAAAGGGGAAAAAAAGGAACCCGATCTGGTTACGACAACGTGGCATAACGTACACCGACGATACTAATTCAGTTTGTAACACGGTGTTTCGTATCCTATAATTCAATAAATCCAATAAAAATCGACCACGCATAAGAATTAGGCTCATAATGAGACGATTTAATAAAAGCCGAGAGACTGAATTGAACTCAATCCAGATAATGAAACAACTGGACAGTGTTAAGCACAGGGAAGCTGGATGCGTTTCAGAATGGACCCTCCATTGTTTAGGGCCTACCATCATCGTGGCTCATTCTGGAAAAAAGATAGGAGTCTTTGGCATAACGCTGTCTGAGTGAGAAAAGGAAGAATCGATGACCGTTTGAGAGACTCGATTTTATGGTTTTTTAATGAGCCCGGCCTCCGACCAATAAATCCGATCTATAAGTGAGTATTTAGAAAAAATAAATATTTATGACACCAATAAAAGCGGATAGCGTAATAATCATAAAACGGTATCTATTCGAACCCGTGATTTGAATTTGTTCCCCGCGTGTCCAATCGTGGACGCTGCCTTTAATAAACAACTAATCTGAAGATGGAGCTATGAGAGGCGGATTTGTTGCTTCTGCGGTTGTCGCGTCGGAGATGAGCTTTCGCGCATGTGATCCGCGACCGGACATGTAATCACGGCTGCCGTTTTCTCGCTGTTGACATATTTTTTTTCGCAATTGCTCGTGGACACAGAGGCAAAACAGTCCTTTAAATTTTCACATGAATGTGGCATCACTGTTGTCGGCTAGCATGTATTTTTGACCGTTGAAAGAACTTGTTTCGTGAACATATTCCTCTCAGCAGGATTGTTTTATGCCAGTGTGTGTTTTACGATTTGAGTTCTCTAAACGAATGACTAGCCCCCGCATCCCTTTTCGACTGGCATGTCTAAGGAGAAAAAATTTCAAAATAGTCATTTACATAATTAAATAGTGTAAATTCGAAACGTCTCAGATGTAGCTAGCAGTGCAAGTAGCATCACTGTGTGCACGCTAAAAGGCGGAAAAATCAGGACACTTGTGTGAATATTAAATGCCAAAATTGAGGGGCTTGGAGGACAGGGCGTATAAGTGCAGTTTTTGCTATTTTGAGACATACGTGTTTAAAGTTTCGAAATTACTTGGATACTTATGGCGGAAAGAAAGTTCAAACTGACTTCTTGATGCTCGAAAAATGGAGTTTGGGAGCAAATTTTTCACAGAAAATGCATTAAGATTTGTTTTACTTCTTGAAATCATTAATATCTCAATTTTTTCAAAAACTGCAGTTATACGCCTTGTCCTCCAAGCCCCTCAATTCTAGGTCGTAAATCCACCTCGATTCTTTAGCATTGATGCGGTAGCTTTCACATTTTAGAGAGACCCGATGGCACGTAGAATGTTTTGAATCTCTACTCTTCGATTATACCGGAGGGAGAGACAAGAGGAATGAGAAGATAAAGTTGGAAGAGTTTGTGATAAACTTTTTATTAGATCGGAGTCATCTGCCTAGACTTTGAAAGGCTCGGGTGAAACTGTAGCAGAGGGAAAGAAAAAGAAACTCCATTTGAATCAGATGAGGCCTCCATTTTATATTTCTCACAAAACAGTTTCCGTTGTTTAAAAACTTGCTTATTAGATGTTTTTAACAAATGCCTTTTGAATCAACAGGAAATTTTCTCGGGTACTTTTTAATGGTATTCCTTTTGATTTAAAAATGTGTTTTCTTTGGTGAAAGTTCATATTATGAGATCTGTGAAATTAATGCTTGATGGACCGAGAAATCTCCAAAAATTTGAAATCAACACTGCGAAGGAAACGTATTTTCCCGATGAAACGCGAATCGAAACAACTTATTTTTTTCTATCTCCTCGCCATCGATCAAACTTTAGGACAGACCTGTATCGATCAATCAGACTGAAAGTTTAAAAAGCAGATGCTCAGTGACAGTGACGCTGGTGGTCTTTGCAAGAGCCGTGCGGCTTCCTGGAACATGTCCTAAACCCAGGTCATTTTTATAAGCACTGTCACTCGCGCCCGAGGGTTACTTTCAAACCTGTACCGCAATACATCGATTTCCTCTCGATCTTGGCCGGTGACATTTACAGACAAAAGCGATCGAAAGGTGGGCAATTTTCAGAGTAAATTCACGCGGGTTACTTTCCCTGACTAGTAAATCGCGAATGACCACTCGTACAGAAAAAGGAAGAAATCGCACGGAGTACAATTTTATTGTGGTAAAGCTGTAAAGCCAAAGGTTAACGGTCAACAAAGCGTTGCAAAGCTGGTCATTTTCACACCGAGGAAA